GTGGAGGTGGAACAAAACTCTCTCTTTTGTTTCTGGCTAACACAGGCAGCAAAGTTAAATAATGATACAGTACATGTGAATACTGAAAGTCTGTGGAATTCTCTGGGGAAGTATGGTCGGAACGATAATGAAGACAAGCAAGAATTTAACAGCGTTATTAGTGGAAAAGCTAGGACTCAGGATACATAGCTCGTTAATGTGAGCAGTTACATCTATGTACAAAGATTTGCTTTGGCATACTTGGACGTTGATGAAATATGCAGACTGCGGTGGAAATTTTTAGAGGTCATGACAGCTTTCTGGCTCAGAGCATTGCTGCCATTCTCCATTTTCTACCACAGACATTATATTTTCTTGGCAGGAATGTTATTATTAACGCCTCCAGTTGCCCTATTTTTTTCTAGATGCTGAATTGGCCCCGACAAAAAAGGAAATGGGTAAAATTATACACTTAAAACTAATTTAAATGGGGCATTTCAACTGAATTCTGTGCTCTCTGGAGGTTGTGCTCAAGCATCTTTCTGAGTCCTGAAGCTATTTTATCCATATGGCCCTTGCTTTCTGCAGTGAGGCTTTGTACTGTGAATCCTATAGAGGTGTAGTGTAATGGAAGAGCATACATTTCTAGGCTAATAGGTTGCCGAGGGCTACGCTGCGGCTGGGCTGTGCTACAAAGCTGCACTCTGCAAAACCAACTCTCATCTGAGCTCTTCACACCTGCAGCTTGGAGGTAAAGAGGAGGGAGAAGTCCTTACGAGGCTCGGCTTTCGGCAGGAGGACTCTCAGCGTGCTGCCTGGGAGCCCTACACAGCTAACAGAGAGAGAGAAATGCTAGCAAAGGCTTCATCATCTCCTGACCTTTCCACAGACGCTGGTACCTTCCCCCGATATGATGAGGGTGTCACAGCCTATCTCGCTGTCCTTTTCCCCTCCCTGTATCATCTCCTTCTCTCTTCTACTCCCACTTATTTCCAGCGCCTGTCTCTGTTCGTCTGTCTTTCTACTTCCATCGCGCTGCCCTAATGAGGAGGACTTATTCCCACTAAGGTGTGTGCGTGGTACAGAGTATGAGGATGTAGAAACCACCAGCTGAGCTCCTGCACTACCTCTGACCTTCCTTGTCTCCTTCCATCCGCCTCCCTTCGCGCTCCCCTCTCTCTGTTTAGATGTTTACCTGTCCATCTGACTGTCGGCATTAAGGAGCTGTCACTAAACTGCTGTCAGTGCCAATGACTGTCATGTCTCCCTCGGGTGCCAACTCCCCCCTCGAGCTCTCAGTACAGGGCAGGCTTTAATGAGCCCTGCGGCGGAAACGACAGTCTCCTATGCAGCTGGAGCTGAGAAGATGGAGTGACAATGGGGGGTAAAAGTGTGATGCTCATGGGGAACAGGTAGAGGAGGAGAGAGAGAGCAACAGGGGAGCAGGCAATTATCCCCACTCTGGTGCTGTATATGGCCATACAGCCCTCTAGCAGGCATGTTACAAATGAGCTATATCCTCCACTGCTGTCGAAATAATCCCACCTCGCTACCATTACTCTTCACCCCCACCTGGTAGAGGACAGATGCTCCAAAACATCAGAGGGAGAAGTAAAGAGAGACTGCGCCTGGAGTGGGAATTCAAATAATATTAATGCTACATTTATTCTTAATAATGCTATATTGCTTTGCCAACACAGGTTTCTTTACTGTCGAGCCCATAAAACACCCTTGAATTGGATTGAGAGAGGAACAGAAGGGGAGAGAGAGAGAGAGAGAGAGAGAGAGAGAGAGAGAGAGAGAGAGAGAGAGAGAGAAACTAGGACTGAGATATTAAAAGGAGGGGGAGGCAGAGAGAAAGAGGTACCTTTGCTATCAAAAGACCGAACAGGAGGAGTGATTTGCCTCAAGACAAGGGAAAAATAGAGTGAGACTGTAGAAAAAAACAGAGTCAGATTTGAGTAAAACCTTGAGCAAACTACACAACAATCGCAGTGTTTTGGCTTTTCCGGACAGAGGTTTGATTTCTAAGACATAAACCACTGAGCTGGAAAGAGCACCGTGCTTGTGGCTGTTATTTACAGGTCAGCTTGAGCGATTTGGAGACATGTCGGTCGTGTTTGAGGCCCTTGGAAGTGAGTTTTATACGGGGGATGAGATGAGGAAACTGGGGGCAACTCTCCAACTGGAGATCTAGGACTGTGTGAAAACAGTTATCTCATAAGCAGGGCTGCACACATAATAGTCGACTAAACTGTTAGTCACTGAGAAGAGTCTTAGTCGACCCATTTCTCATTAGTCGGATAGAAAAATTTGCATTTAACAATAGGGCAATAAATATGTATTTAAATTAATACATTAATATCATAAATGTGAATTGACTAGTCAACTAGGAAAATCTTTAATGGGGGGCAATCCTACTCACAAGTTCATTCATTGAATGTCACACAATGAGATGGGTCTAAAAAGCACAGCACTAACTGATCAGTTGCCTGCAATTGTTTCTATATCTATTATCACCCGATGTCTAAATAAAAATCCTAGATATGTTCACTGGTCTATAAATGAGGGTGTTCAACTATGCAGAGGAAGAGCAGAAGCGTCAAGTGCAACCTATTCATTAGCCTACATCTATAGTTTGCATGACAGGCAGTGCAGGTATGCCTGCAGCTCTGGCACCAATATACAGTGCACTAACAGGCAAGTGTATTCTGTGTCACTTCATGTCGTATAATGATTGGTTGGTTTGTAAATTGGCTGTCAGTGTATCTAGGACCACCGTTTTTAAATTGACAACTTCAGGGTTCGGCCATGTATCCTACACAACTGTCAACTTTTGTCTGGGACAGCCCAAAATTGCACAGCGTAATAAGGGACAGACCCCCATATTAATGTGCTAACAGAAAATGTAGTCTGTTAAAATGTAGAAAACTGACATGGGGTCTTGTATTGAAAGAGTGGTAGAGAAAGATACCAACACTAATACTGTACAAATATCAAAAAGTAGAGACAGAGAGAGAAAGAAACAGAGAGAGAGAGAGAATGGAGTAAAATCAGTCAGCCATATCTGCAGACGTTTCCTCTGCTTCCCCTTTCTCAGCTCCAACCTACCTCACGACTGCCCGCTGTGCAAGAGAACGAGCCCCGCAACACACATCGTCTCACTTTCACAACAGCAAGCCGACACACACACACACACACACACACATCTACTGCACACACCACAGAACCCATTTTCTTGGAGCACCTACACAGGCTGGAATATACAGATCATGTTTCACAGTGTGAGGTAAATACCTCTCTCTTTTTGTGCCTGGTTCTGTCCTTCACTCTCTGTATTTCTCTCCACCACACACACACACACACACACACACACACACACACACCCAAGTCTTTATGTAGCATTTTGTTTTTTTATAATGGATTACACACCATTCTGTACTATTATGAGTCATTATATAAAGTAAATAACAGTATGATAGCAAGTTGATTCTAGAAATCGATGCAAATCTTAAAATATTATGTATTGTTTTTTTAAATTATAGTTTGTTTTGTCTTGTAATGAATGAGGCCATGGTTTATTTGTGCATACACAGACCAGCACAGGCCTCGGTGTGTGCAGTGGGATGCTAGAGACTCGTGCTGTTAAGTATTCAGAAACAGCAGGAACACAGAGTGAGGCCACAGTGGGCCAAAGAAACACAGACAGGATGACCTCCAACAAGGACAAACTTTATCTGGATGTCTCTGTGAGCATCTGTCTGACTGACTGTGCGAGTGTGGTTTTGTCTCTGTGTGTGCGCACACGTGTCTCATAGAAGTCTGTGCAAACATGACTGTGTTGAAGATGTTGCGTAACTGGAAGCCGGCTCTCAGTCAAGAGCCGGGTCTATTCCCCCAGCCTCCTGGATGAAGCAGTTGGTTCTCTGATGCAGAAGAAAGGGAAAGTGTCCGGAAAGAAAACCAAAAACATGAATGAAGATTTATTTACATGTGGCTCTTATTCCAAAAAACTGGAGTGCGTGTAAATAATTATTCAAAACATTTGGGTCGCCCTGCTTCAGTCTCTAAAGCTAGACCGGCATGCAGTGTGTTTCCCGGCTTACTGCAGATTCCCTTCAGTATCATAAGGGAAGTGACAGCAGCTTGAGGGAACAAAGCAATAAGTAAAAAATTAACATAAATTCACATGGTAATGTATTCAGCATTGGGCAATGACTTTCCATATAACAGAGGGACATGTTTTTGAAAAAAAATTGTGTTTTTGAGAAGAGCAAAGCAGAAAGAATTTGCAAAGTCGTGCACAGACACGAGTATAATGAACAAATATTAGCCGTGATATTTGGGATTTAAAATGAAGATAAACTATTCCAATCTCTGGAGCCCAATTGTGTGTCGACACACAAACACCCAGAACGCCCTGAATTCATTACTGAAGTCTCATACAGGCATTCAGTACGAACACAAAGGGATTCTTCAGCTAACAAATGGCCCACAAGTTAATCCAGAATGACTGTTTTATCAACAATGGCCACCGATGATGATATTGGCACCTGAGACAAGGTTGAAAAGAGCTGCTGTAATTTGGTTTCACAATACGCAGCACACACACACACACACACACACAGACAAGCCAAGTTGTCCTCACTGCTGTACTCGGCCCGAACATTGAGCGCGATGACAAATGCAGCCACAGTATTGTGCCGCTCTGTAATTAAATGGAGACGTGGGGTCAAAACTCCCAACAGGTTCGCTGACATGACATGAAAAGTAAATTGGCTCTCCTCTAAGTCACTTTATACAGCGCTTATTGCATAAGCTGTATTTATAACTATTATTAAAATAGAAAAATTATTTATCTTTCAAGCACTGTAATATCATGAGGACTACAGTGTAATCTCTCACAGCACGCTCTGCCTGGCCTTGTCTGATTCTGTAGCGGAGATAATGACTGCGCAGGGTAATTGAAGGTACAGAACACACACGCACACCCACTGCATGAAAAATGGAGGTTACGTTACCTTTCCAAAGCTCCCTTTCCCAATGGCTCGCAATATCTGGAAGTGGTCGAAGTTCACTGTGAAGAAAAAAAGAGGAGGAGGAATCCATCAGCATGAGTTCAGGACAGGCAACAGGACATGTAGTCTAATCATAATGTATCTGCACAGTGACACCTTTGCTGTTGTTTGGTCTCTGCAGTCATTTAATTCAAAATGAAATAATGAATGACGTTCAAGTGCTGACTTTAAGGATTCATTTAAGGGTGTTGACATCTGTATCAGATGCAATCCTTTTCATTCAGACTGCCCCATTAATCAAAATAAATTCATCACTTTTAGTTGCAATTCGTTTGCAGACTATAACTGGCTATAAAGTCTACGACACACACACACACATCAGCAGACAATTCCCCGTTGATGCTCTGTCAGGCCTGAACTGCAACCATCCTCACTGCTTGCTTTGAGCGCTTTTTGTTTTTAGTCTGATCTTTGGCAACAGAGCAGAGAACATTCTGCTTGGCCTCAGAAAAGTCCTTGGTTGTCTTGTCTGTAAGTAAAAGATCACTTTCCTCCTGCGTAAGTGGGCGGCTGAGGCTCGGAAGGTAGAACGGGTCGTCCACTAATCAGAAGCTTGGTGGTTTGATCCCTGGCTCCTGAATGTCCTTGAGCAAGATACTGAACCCAGAATTCATCGCTGTATTAATGAGTTAGTTTCTGCAGACTTCATAAAGTACTATAAACACAATACAGCCATTCTCAGTGGGACTGTACTTTGACACAAATGCTAACATTAGCATGCTAAGATGCTCATGAAACCTTAACTAGTATCACTGATGACGCCTGTGTTTACCCAACACATTCATCCGACTCACACGGCCATCCCTGGAGCCACGCCGCTAGCGTGGCTTAAAAGTGCTACGAGTCCTACACTGCTCACCCAATACGCATTTGAACACTCTCAAACACTTGACAAGCTGAAAGTCAACACTTCAAGCTAATAGTCACCGTTTCATATCAGATCCAGTGGGCTGGAGCACAGAGCCAAAACAATAAAAAACACATTACTGTCCTAATACTGTCTGGCTGTACTGCACATTGGATGGTGCTGTGGAGTCGTGGCTTTTGGAATCGATAGAACAAAAAGTATATTTTCCATTAGAATGAAAACCAGCTTATCTGAACAAAAACGTATTTTGGACAATGAAAATTCACAAAAACTGAAAAGCAATGAAATTCTGAATCAGAGCATAATAACACCATAGGAAGCATTCTTGCAGGATCTGAACAGTGTAGCTTCAACATTATAAACACCACATATCAGCAAGGGAATTACAATCTACTATGGTCTTCTCATAACTTTATAACAATAAATGATTACATTTATTCAGTTATTTTTTGACATTCGGTCTTATCAGAAAATCAGACAAGACATATATATAACTAAATGATTAAAATAAGAAAATTCTCTTCGAACAAAAGCCACTAAAATCATTACTGTGTCTCTAAGAGTTGAAGAATGATTGACGGGTGTCTGTCATTATATTATTGGTTAAAATCGTGTCACATTTAGTTTAACAAGATGACAAAATGATTGGATTTTGATATAAAAATAAAAAATCAATTGTGTTTTTGTACATTTCTTGGCATACCTTGTTAAATAGGGGAACAATATAACTGAGGATGTAATCGGGTTACAAAGGTTAAATGATTTTTCACTTCACCTGGACTTTAAATGAACAGTTGGAATACAGATATGAATACAGGTAATAACATACTCGCTCATCCCAGGTAATTAGCTACAGCTGAGTACATTTACCATTGACAGTTGATAGTCGATGAAATCAACAGTTGTTGTCTTTAACCTTCACTTGCTGCAGCTTGATGAGACACACTTAGTTACGTAAGTTACAATTAAAATTGCAGTTGTGTTCAGGTGTTTCTAATATTTGCTTTCCTTATGAATGTAAAAGGTTCAGACATGTAAAGGTTTTTTTCAGTACTGATTTCAGACAAGAAATCAGCCACTGTGTTACTATGTGCTGCATGCACTATAAAGTGGGCTGATGAGCTATTGCTGACCTCCTCCTGGTCATCTGTGTTACTGATTGAGACTTGCCTCTGTTCTTTGTGTGTGTGTGTGTGTGTGTGTGTGTGTGTGTGTGTGTGTGTGCAGTGCCGCTGGCAGATGTGAGCACAGCAGGCACGCCGCTAACTCACGCAGCTCCTCCTTAAAAGTCAGTCAGCTTCTGAAGCTCACATCCTGATCTGCTCAGCCCCCTGTCCGCGCAGACAAGGAGTGATCATGAGCAAAGAAAGCACATGCTGGGCTCCTCCAGGCAGACCCACTGCCAGCTGACCTATGCACCCCGGGCTGGATGCAGAGGTAAACCTCACAATGCTTTTTTGCTTCCAGACAAAAGACACAAGGTGTGGTTTGCATGTTTTGTCTGGAAGATAGACTAATCCAGTGTGGATTCTCCCTGCTCAGTCTTTTGTACATGGCTAATCCTCTCATATGGCATGGCTCTGACTGCACCCTGGTGCCGACACACACAGACACTGTACCATGAACATAGCTATCTGTGAAGTATTAAAAGGGATAATGTGAAGAAAACTGTATATACAGCCCAGCGGGTTCATAGATTCAGTGGTGTGATGCATTTCCCTCTGGCTCCCATGCCAACATTAACCACACTGGTTATGTCAAGTGCCGGTATACTCCAACAGAAGTGCTTGTCGGATGGTTGAACAGCCCCCTCCTCTCCCCCACAACGGTGATGTTAGAATTTGGAGGGCTCTGTCCACCAATTTTAGTCATTTTCCAAATCCCTCAATCCAACATTCACTCACTTTGGTTAGGTGTGAGAAAGAAAGCTGGGTTTGAACTTGTCTCTCAACCTCTCTTTTTCATTCTTCACACAGCAATTTCTGTCACTTTTCATGTGACAACGCTATGGATGCCCAGCAGGAGAGACTGAATATGTGTGCTGTTATCTCCGTATTTAAGTGATTATTGTGTATCAGAACTTTCTTTGATGACTGTACTTCCAGTCCACTGTGGCTGTTTGAGAAACATTTTGATGTGGTGGGACAACTTGTTGTACTGACTTGTTCTTTTCCAGCATAACCCGGACCTGAAACTCCAGTCAGATCTATTGTGACCATATCGGTATCGTAATATAATGCAAAAAAAGGTTTATAGTTTTTTCAGTTTTGCTATTCATCATTTTTATTTATCCTTTATTTTCTCAGTGTTAATTTCTAGAATATGTGTCACATTATTTAACATGTTAAAGAATATTTAACTTAAATATTCTTTAATAAAGTTATTTGTTCAAGAAAGCAGCCTTCTGAGTACCTTCAGAAAGTCATATCGGTGTAAAATTGGTCTATTTTCATTCCCTATCAGCCGCCATACGAGTAACCGATTAATCTTTCTACTGATGTCATGAGTCTGATCACATTTCAGTTTTAGCCCTGAAATCCATCAACCTCGAGACTAACTAGTATTATCTGCAACTCCAGAGAGAAACACTGAATCCATCATCTATGGTGTCTCACATGAACGATCTTATTTAATTAACTCTACTTTGGCAACATATCTGATAGAGCTTGGTACAAGCTTGACATACATTGATACCTCAATATAATATTTGAACATATTCTTATGATATGACTTGATTGAAATTCTATTGTAAATCAGCCAAAAAATAAGTGTATTATATTGGACTGCAAACTTTCTCCACAGGTGAGTTAATACTTTTCACAAAGACCTGTGTAAACCTAGTGTGACTCAGAAGTAGGCGGTGGTCAACATACATCTTTTACTGTTTGATGTGGTGTTTTCTTTTGTGAGGATTTAGCCATTTTAATGCCAGGAACCCCCTCGGGCACCCTCAGCTTAGTGCTGCCCAATGTGATTGTGAACAGAGTGTTTTTTCCCCTATACCAGAATTATAATGGGTTCACTTAGACCTTTCTCCAGCGCTGGCACAGCACTAAAACAAAGTGTGGAGATAGGTCTGACTATGCAAGACTACCCTGAGCCTGACTTCAATATGAGGAGTCACACTGTAGATTAGGGATGTCACAAGAACAGATACTCGGGGACAAAGTCAAAGCCAAAGTTCTTCAGGACCTGACGGCGCAGCACGTACACCTACAAGCAGCCTTTCTCATTATTTATAGATCTGTGGCAGCCCCCCACATTCTGTGGCGCAGATACGGTGGATATTGTTCAAGCACGGACCAGGTAAAGCAAGAGTGTACAGCAGTGAACACACCAGTCCACCACGCCAATGTCATTCGGCAATTGGTTTCAGTCGTTTTCATAAGCAACGTCATTAACTCCTCCACACACGGCTCACTTGCTGGTCTAAAAACTGAATTGCGGCTGACAAAATCCCAAAAACGAGTTGTGTTTTTTAGGCAACTTGATAGAACATACTGCTGAAGAAAGTCAACAGAGACACATACAGGGAGCTAGAGAAACAGAAAGAGGCGAGCGATTGTATAAGTAAATAAGAGTACTAAAAAGAAAACCAAGGTGAGACAATGAAAGAAGTTCAGTAAACAACCTATGAGCAAAGGACCCCTGTTGTTTATATTTTGTAACGGTCAAATGTTTTTAATAAAAAGAGTATATTTTGAAGTACATGGGATTTATATTTTTTTACCATGGCATCGAATTGGGTATGGAGAATCGTGGAATTTCACTGGTATTGGCATCGACTACTATAGCCCTACTGTAGATATGACTCAGATGGAATAAATGTATGCCTTTATGTCGATATATTAAAAAAGGAAACCTAAGGAATGTAAATTATCTATGAAAGTCTTAGAATATAATTCTACATGACAGATAACACAATTAACCATCCAATTTAACTTTCTTTTCAACGCGTAGATCGATGTCCCCAGTATCACAGCACTTCCTCTAAGTATGAGTCATCGGGTAATGGGAAGAAAAACAAAAGTACCCCCCCACCTCCCCTCCCTTTTAACTGGCCTGTGAAAGGAGCTGCTCTTCAGACAGGGGCAAAAGAAATTCGGGCCTTTTCCATTCTAAGGGGATAAT